CCTGTCCCTCGTGTCGGATATCCTGCGTATGACACTAGCAGTGGCAGTGGCAGTGGCACTAGCACTGGCAATGCACCAGCAGCAGCAGCACCAGACTCCGATCCGCTCCCACCACCACCACCACCACCGCCGCCGCACTACTACTCTTACTCTCCGCTACTGATGATGAACCTCAGCGGGCTGGACGATCCGCAGTGGCCGGGAGGATCGGCATCAGCGACGAACTTTGATCTCAACATGACGGATCTGTTTCAGGGGTCGATGTGGGATTTGGATATTAATATTGGGCAGCAACAGCAGCAACAGCAGCAGTCGCAGCAGTAGTAGGAGCAGGAGCACCACATATGATGACGAGTACATATTGTATTGTATTGTGTATACATAAAAGTTGTAATTTGATATATTAAAAGATAAATGCAGGGCCAACCGAAATTTCAATTTCAGTTTTGTTCCCGTAGTGGCTGATCACGCTGGGTTTGGCCGAGTACTCCTTGAGTAGTAGACTAAATGAAATGAATAGGGGTTTTTTTTCTTAGGCTGGCTTACTGCTCTACTGTTCTCCAAACTTATCATGATCTCCCTTCTCAGCTTCTTGGAAAGCTTACAATAGATCAACCAGCCTAGACATTACGGTCATTAATTTTCTATTTGAAGTATCATCACATCACACCGAAGAACCTTCTCTATTCAGCTCCCTCTGCTTCATCAACCAATCCTTCAAATCAAACGTCCCATCCCTCAAAAGTCCCTTATCTGCATTCCAAGCAAAGGTATTGCCAACGACCGTCGAGTCATCATCCTCAAAATGAATAAAACATGCCTTGATGCGGCACATCCGTGTCTCGTACGCAATCAACCGATCGAGCTCGGTCTGCGACCGTATCTCGCACGCCATGCCTCAGACCGGATTTCCAGGCGGACCGTCTATCAGGGCCGGGTAATCGCCCCAGAACTTGGTGCTGTACCCTATGATCTTGGCGGGGCGAGGTTCGATTCGACTGGGATGTTTCGGGACCTTGGCCAGGATTGAGGGGTCCATGAGTGTGCCGTAGAAAAAGTAGTATTCGATTTTGAAGGTATTATCATCAGAGTCAATGGCTGAATAATCCTCAACAGTCTTTCCTGTAGCCTCTGACTGAAGAAACTTGCGCACCATAAGCGGTATGTCCTTCTTATTCGTGATTGTGGGGTTCTTGAACGTCGTCATCATCAGTGCAAGAAGCAAAGACAGGAAAAACGATTTCAAGAATTGTTAACATACAGTACCATTCATCCTTGCGATAGACGATAAATGGGTTCAAGGAGTGTTGTATTGGTGAGATTCATGTGCTGCGAGACAAAGTTTGACAGCAACGAGAGCTGACTGAGGTAATTGACAGTAAATATGGGTCACCAGTAAACGATGTCTCGGCACAATAGTGGAAGAAAGATGAACTGAGGTCAATGAAGCTCTACCAACTCGCTATAGATGAAGCGAGGCTTTGTCTAAGCAACCACAAACATAATGTCCCGATGGAAAACAGCCCAAGAGATAAAGAATAAGGCGATATGCTGCATGTCAGGAAGTAGGTACCTAGGTACTTTTCAGGAAACAGTCAGGCACTAAGCCGTTTTAGGAATGATATGACTAAGCTTTATTACGTAATAACGATTGGAAGACAACCTCTTCGGGTTAGTCTGGTTGCCCTCGCTTCAACTACTCCTAGAAATCAAGGCTTTCTTTCTCCCTTTTCCTTCAATAACTAACTACCTCTATAGTGGGCTTACAGGTAAAGCCCGGCATGGCTAGAGGATTCTTTCCGGTTGGTGCTAAATTTCTATCTAGGTACCTACCTGGAGCTTATTTTCTACCTATGCCGAACTGAACGGTCTGATATTTGGTCTGATTCAGACCTAACATCAACGCTCCTCGAGCGTACTGCGGCAGCTTTCGTAAATGTGTGCTTCATCTCGATATATATGTATACCAAACATTTTTCCAGGTTGTCCGAATTCCTTTCCCGTTCTACATAGGGCTGGAGGCATGCCTAAGCCAGACTGAGGCAGTGCTGCGACCAAAAGAAAAGGAATAATAATACTTTACGATTGGATGGGTGGTCCATGTGAAGAGGGATGGGGATAGGATCAATGCTTTTACTAGCACTGGTTAAGATCATTCTAGGTGCCGACAATATCATTCCTAACGTCGCACGCGGCTTTACCAAGTCTTGAAACTCCCATCTAAACGGCGCGACAACTCCTCTCGAATGGTGACTTGATCCTCTTCTGTGATGTTGCCTTCTGTTCGAGTATATCCAAGTTCGAGGTGGAATCTTCGATTCTGAGGCTCCAATCCGCGAATGAAATCGAGGATTCCTTGAGCGGTGAAACGATTTCTTCTAGCAGCTATCTTGAGATAGCGCAGATTGGAAAGGCATAGTAGTGCCTTCCAGACGCTGTCGTTGAATCCAGTGCCGCCTATCGCTAGTCGCTCAAGATGAGGCAGGCAAGAGACTAACGTCACAACCTGATCCTGAGTGAATTCTTGGGATACACATTGGATATCGAGGTTCCGCAGCTCGGTTAACTGTTGCAGGGATCGAAGAAGTGTGGCCGGGTTCACAGGCCTGTCGGGGACCTCGAACACGTCGACGTTGATATTGAGCTCTCTCAAACTGCGCTGAGATGCGAGAGCTTCGTGAAACGCTTCGATTTCCTCGACTGTGCAAGAGTCAACATAGTCCGGTACGATAAGGGCCTCCAAGGACAGCTCTGTGTTATTCAGAGCGTTGGCAAGCACCAACGGCTCATTCAAGAACACGTGGATCTCCAAACGTCGCAGACTCTTGCATGCGCCGATCCATCGACCAAAATCAGAAGCGAGCTCATCATCCTCTCCATAAGATTCATAAATTGTGAGGACTTCCAGCTTCTCAGGTGGATCCAGCAGTGAAAGTTGCCGAACGAGCTCCAGCCAAAAGTTTTTCAACCTCAGTTCCACAAGGGAACCAAAGTGGGAGCTGAGGGCGACCATGGAAGCAGGCCCAAACTCTGCCCAATCGATAATCTCGAAATACTCTAATGTGTTTAGGCGAAGTCCTTTCAAGAAACGTTCCGAGTCCCTTTCTGCAGAGCCCTCAGTTACATCTTTCCTGTAGATCCACTATCAGCATGCCAGTTGTAGACATGAAATGGAGCTGAAATAATACCATTTATACACCACAAGCTTCTTGAATTGTGGACAGTATTGATTAATGTTTTCTTCAACGCTCTGATCGAGAGACTTGCCGGACTGTAACCATAATGCCTCAAGGCAGGGCAAGTGACACATCCATTCCTTAAGAGTCGTTGAGGACACTGATAATAGTCATTAGAATTCCACCAGCTCTTCTTGTAGTCACACCCACCGTCATATGATAGTTCTCTTATTGATGTTGCAGTCGCCATGATTGCAATAATCGAGTCAGCAAAAGTTGAAGTAAGCTACAAAGAGTCGATATTGCACTTGGGTGATGTTCTTCAGCTTACCGGATCCAGCTCTCTCACAGACCCACTGTGAAAAAGGAACCTCCTCCTCTGGTGACAGTTGTGGCTCACTTTCATTACCGGATAATAACATGGTCCCAAGCTTGCCAGAGAAGAATTCCCTGCAACTTGTTGAGTATGGAAACATCTTCGCACTTCGTCTTTGCTTTGTACTCACTCTTGAAAAGATGTCTTGAATTCATCATCTCGCACCAGTTCATCCAAATCGTACAGATCAAGATAGCGTATGTAACTACAATACGGAAGATATGTCTCATTAATGAAGGTGGACAGAATGATCGATCGCCACATCAGTTGCCGCTTGCGCAGTGTCCTAGACTGTCCATTTTTCTTAGTTATGTACGTTACAGACACAGACGGCTGTCCCTTTCTAGTCCTCTGGACGTTCCAGCAGATATGGAATCCAACCTATCCGTCAACATTAGCCAAATAGCTCTTATAATAAGCCTCTTATCTCCAGAGTTGTCTAGTTTCCTGGTATATCCTCGACAGCGCAAGCTCTGCCAACTGTCGAGATGCGAGTGCACATTGAAACAATGTGTCGTAGTCATGTTGGGAGTTCAAATGATCAAGTATAATGTCGATGATCTCGGGTGGCAAGCGTGTCATTTTCATTCATTCTTTTCTCATCTAGTTGTTTTGTTTTCAGTCTCGATTTCGAAGGAGATTCTGCGCAAAAAGAAAGAACACTCGAAAGGGAGAAAGCATGCTGTAGCAGGAATCGCGGAGAACTGTTGGTACGCTGTGATGACTTGGTCCGCGTTAATATTGTCTCGACTCTCCATGGGGGCTTCGCGCCAGGGAATGTGACCCCGAAGTTTGAAGTAAAACATCGCCTTTAACGCAACGTTTTCCTTCCCTCACCCGATCCATAAAAAAAATCCAGGCTCCAAAAATCCCAAATTTCAAAAAAAAAGGATAAGATGAAACAGTGACCGCTGCAGGGGCGGTTGTTGTTGTAATACCAACAGCACTGACCTCCATTATATTTATAGATATGCTGGTGAAACCGTTATAAATAATATACGCATCCAATTTTAAATAATACAAACTTGAAGAGGTACTTTAATTCTCTTAGCAGCAACATAGAAATGTCGGTTTAAGCTCAGAATATGAGTGACAACTAGGCATACTGAGAATTCACTAATAACTACGCTCTAATGGCGGAACGAGTACTTTATTAAGAATTTCAACAGTACACGGGTCCACTAGTACGTAGAATTATGGCTATAATCGATTATTATGGGCAATAAATTGCCATATAGAGTTTAAATGGGCAGTGATCTCTGTGGATAAAGGGAAGGAGCAGAAATAAAGAATATAAGAGAGATAAAGATGATCCTACATATGAGTGGAAGTGGCACATCAGCCACGGCTAGCGGTCAAGCAATTGTTCGATATGAGAGTCCTTTTTTTTTGTTTAATTGGTTTCCTCTTAAGGACATGCTTTCCTTCTTCCTATGGTATATATATATATATAATCGACTGTCTGTACACTGTACAAGAGTTTCTAAAGAATGCCAGGACAGGACACAAACAAAGACGAAGACGCCTTAGATGCAGAAGACTGACTGACTTACTAGCAACTTCTAACGAATGACCTACCTAACAACCCCCCTCTCCCGCAGCTCTTGCACCCTCTCCTCGCTCAGCCCGACTACCTCCCTCAAGATCTCGTCCGTATGCTCGCCCAGCATCGGCGGCGGAGACCGGATGCTCGGGGTCGCGCTCGAGTATTTGACGGGCGGGCTGAGCACCTTGATGGGTCCGCACACGGGGTGCTCGATTTCCTGGACCATGCCGCGTGCTTGTGCTGGAAAATACCTGTCAGTAAGACGGAACGCTATATTGCTAGCTGGCTGCAAGCGACTCACCATGCTCATGGTTCAACGTATCCAGCACATCGTTGACAGCCGCGTACGGCATTCCGCTCCCTTCAAAGATCTGCAGCCACTCCTTTGTCGTGCGCTTCTTCGTCTCGGCCTCGATTAACCCCTCCAGCTCGGTCCGGTTGCGCACGCGCGCGTTGTTGGTCACGAACTTGGGATCGCTCTTCCACTCTGGTCGTCCGAGTTTGTCGCACAGGATCCCGAAGAGCCGGTCGTTGGCGCCGCCGATGAAGATGTCGCCGTCGGCGGTTTTGAAGCCTTGGTAGGGGACGACGGAGGCTGTCCTCGTTAGTATGGGCTAGGCTGGGCCAAGTTAGGTAGAGGGTGTTGCTTACGATGCGCAGTCCCCCATCGCCCTGAATCGCGCTTCCCGCTGACCAGCACCGACTCGGCCATGTTGGCCAGCGTCGCGATCTGGCAGTCGCTCAGACACACGTCCAGATACTGGCCCTCGCCCGTGTGTGCGCGCGCCAGCAGCGCGGCCATGATCGAGTTGCAGGCGTACAGGCCCGTCGTCAGATCGGTGACGGCGACGCCGACCTTGACGGGCGGCCCATCGCGCGAACCCGTCAGGTGCATCAGGCCAAACTCGGCCTCGACCACGACGTCAAACCCGGGCCGGTTGCGGTACGGCCCCGTCTGGCCGTAGCCAGTGATGCTGGCGTAGATCAGGCGCGGGTTGATGCGGCGGATGGTGTCGTAGTCCATGTTGTACTTGGCGAGCGAGCCCGGCAGGTAGTTCTCGACCAGCACGTCGCAGTCCTTGGCCAGCTGGTGGAGGATCTCGACGCCTTCGGGGTGGGCGAACGAGAGGGCCAGCGATTTCTTATTGCGATTGACCTGGTAGCATATCAAGTCAGCTTTTTCTGTCTGTCGTCAGTCTGGAGGATGCATCCTACGGAAAGATAGTAAGCGCTCTCGCCAGGGCCTTCTCTCCCGTCCTTGTACTCTGCGAACGGCGGCCCCCAAGCTCTGGTATCGTCGCCTCGCACCGGATGCTCGATCTTGATGACTTCCGCTCTGACGAGTCAGCAGCTGTCATTCTCGATTCAGCCAGTACATTATTTAATATATATCTACCCGAGATCACCCAGTATCTGTGTGCAATATGGCTGTGGGTCGTCAGCGAAATATCAACGAGATATCTACTCGAGAGAGCAACTCACCCCAGCCAACACGCGACTCATGTCCAGCACGCGAATGCCTGCGAGCGGCAGCTTCTTGTTCTTGTTCTCCGTAGTGCCAGGAGCGGGCGTAGATGAGATGCCTCTCCGGGAGATGCGAGAGACGCTGTTCCAGCCACAGCCATAGCTGTTACTTGCGCAAGACCTTCGTAAGGGACTCGCTGTAGATATGGATGTGTAGTAGGATCTGCCAATTGCCGCCAGCTGCCGCTGCAGCGGTCGTAGGGAAGAACTCCGCATGTTGTTGCTAGAGGTCCTCTCTTAGTAGCAAGAAATAAAAAAAAAACTGTAAAAGAGTGCAAAAAGACAATCTATTCGGTTTTATTCTATTCAATGACCGCCAGTGTCTGTACAGTCGTGCATTGACGCTGTCGGAGTTAACGGTAGAAAGTAGTAGTAAGTAGTAGTAAGTAACAACAGTAGTTAACTAGGAACTGTATTATCCAGCGGAGGCCCCACAACCAGAAGCCGAAGACCCCTAGGCACTTTTTACCTAACATAGGTAAATAACTTGGGTACCTAACTAAAGGCATCCATTCAATAGGTACCTAGGTAATGTGTATTGTAACTACTTGTGTGGGTTTAGTTTAAACTTGTTTTTGACCCCACATTCTTAAGACTATTCTACAGTCCATCACTCTGTCTGTACAGTAATGCAATCAGGAGACTACTACCTGCAGAAATAAAAAAATAGGTAAGAGTCTACTTTGAGTGAAGTTTTTATATTTTATTGTATTATGTTATATTTTGCAATTACTCATTGTGTTGATTTGGTTCAATTTGATTGTTATTGTCATGGTTGATGGAGGTTAAACGACAATAAAAAAATAAAAAATAAAAAAAATGAAATGGAATGGAATGAAATAGATAGATAGATAGAATCAGGAGCTTGTGGTGCCATAACTCAGCGTGAATAAGAACTATTAAAGACTGCCTGTATATACCTACGTCATAGCTGGTTCGGTTAACCCTAACTCTCTCTACCAGAGAAAAGCATAAGAACCGCTCAATTCCTTCAACTTTTCGAGTAATGGTTACAGCTTCGTCAACCCCTGCACGCCCACGCCCTCTCCCTCGCTCCGCTCGTCCTCGCCGCTCATCTCCCAGCGCCGCCCGCGATACCGCGCCGGCCACACGCCCGACTTGCCCGGCGCCAGGATGCCGTTCGGGTCCAGCGCGTCCTTGAGCCGCTCGTGGAACCGCAGCAGGATGTTGTCGTTCCAGCTGTACGTGCGCATGATCTGGTCCATCAGCACCAGGTGCGTGCGGTACTCGCCGTAGCCCTGCACCGCCGCGTCGTCGATCATCGCCAGCATGCACGCCAGCGCCCGCTTGCGCATCCCCGCGTCGGTGCGGTCGTACACCACCTCCACGATCAGGTGCATCTCGCGCAGTCCGACGCAGAACGCCGGGAAGATGTCCAGCCCGTGCTCGGCCGCCCGCCCGCGCGCGATCTTCCACAGCGCCATCGCGTCCGCCCCGCGCACCGGCGACACCGGGCTGAACGCAATGTGCCCACCGTTCGGGTACCAGTTCACACACCGCAGCTCCTCCAGGTCCGGGATGCCCGCCGCGATCCGGTCGCGCGACCAGAAGTAGTCGTCCCGCGGCAGTGTCGCCGGGTCGATGCGCCGCGCCCCGGGGATCTTCATGAACTCGCGGTGGATGATGTCCAGCTTATACTGCCGGATTTCCTTCGGCCCGTACGCCATGCCGTAGTACAGCCATGTGAAGTCGCCGTAGTTCAACTCCTTCTGCGCGATCTGCCGCGCCATCTCGTCCGTCATCTGGCCTTCGCCCTGGAAGAAGGCACTCCGCGGCTTGCCCGTCAGGGCGATCGCCTGGACGACGTGTGGCAGCTGGGCGACGTTTTCGAGGATGTTGGAAATCCGCAGCGGACGGATGATTTCAACCTGTCGATCAGTCTACGTTACAGTGCAGGAACCTATCAAATACATACCAGAGGCGCGAGATCGGCTTCGTTGGGGAATGCATACAGCTGACTAACAGTTAGAAGTGTGGTCAGGTCATATTCTCAATTGAATACGTACAAAACTCTCGTAGCCACCAGGATTCGGCATCAGGGTCATTCCCAGTTTGGTCACGATTCCAAAGTTGGATTGCGAGAACAGGCCGCTTCTTTCGTCAGCGCTTATTGATCGTCATAAGGTCGATATGCAGCACTTACTCTGGATACGGACCAAACCCGTATGGAAAGATCTGCCAGCTCGAGCTGCCCGGGAGGGCGCCCATGCCCGTTCGCATGACCTCGCCGGTGGGAAGCACGACCTCGAGGCCGGAGTGACAGGCCCAGTCTGCAAGGACGTCAGTATTCTTTCGAGACAGCGACGAAGAGGACATACGGTCTCCGTAGACAGTGTATCCCACTCCGCGATCCAGCGTGTTGCCCAACACGGAGCCACCGCCCAAGTCGGGCACGTTGACCCACAGATGCTTGTGGCCTCTGGCTTGGATCTCCTCGTACAGCGCGTAGAACGTGACGCCCGGCTCGACCAGACAGGTGCAGTCGTCGGGATTGATATCGAGGATCCTATTCATCCGCCGTCCGAGATCGATCACCACCGATCCGGGACCCGGGGGCCGCATCGCCGTAGCCAACTGAAAGAATGAGCAATCATAGAAGAATAATTCATCTTAAAGGTAGGGACATACGGTTTCTCCCGATGGAAATGGGAAAGATGGGAATGCGGTACTTGTTCGCCCAGAGGACGATCTTCTGGACTTCCTCGGTGCTGCCGGGATAGACGACGGCGGACGCCACCAACTCTTCTTCGTCGAGGATGTGCATGGCGTCGTGCGTGTTGGGGTCTATGCTTGTCAATAGCTGAAGATCATCGATGATCGGTCAGTCGGTACTAACGTTTCCATATACCTGGATCAGCCGCGTTAGCTTTGAAAGAAAAAAAAAGTACCCCAGGATCCTCCATACCATCCATCCTTCAGCGGTTGTTCGACAATCTCGACGTTTTCCTTGCCCAGCTGACGGGACAGCTCGTCGATGGCCTCGAAGAATTTTGCCTTCTCGATGCCCTGCGGAATGGCGGGCGGTCGTTTCCGGCGATCCTGGACCTTGGTGGCGAGGTTGAAGATCAGGGATTTGGCCTTCTGGGCCTTGTCGTAGAGCCTGGCAGGGACGCCGGAATGTTTTTCGGACAGCAATGGCGTGGGGGAGACTGGTTTTGCGGCCATGATGTCTTCACGGAGGAGGAAAAGCGATCAATCCAGAAGAATGGTACAGTCGAAGAATTGGTGCATTGCGCTATTATAGCTATGAGGTAGCTATCGAGCTACCTACAGCTTGCAGGTGTAGCTCTGCAAAGAGCATAGAACGTGGGGTAAGCCGTCTTCACTGGAGGACAGCGAGAGATCCTCCGGGGAGGAACAGAATCGCCAGAGAAAAGCGGAACCTGCATGGCATCGTGTAACAGTATTCGAAGACTCGACTGGTTAACGGCCGTAAATTGCGTTGAATGCAGTTCGAGTCCATAAAATCAGACGTATGGAAGTATCAGCTGTCGTGATCAACGTGTTGATTGATTTATTTGGTGACCGATTTGGTTTCTACAGAGCAGCTGTGGTTGGTCGTGGTCAGGTGACAGAATACATTCCAGTTAGGAACTTAGCACAAGGGAACCAGCATCTTCAGACAGCATCTTCATATTCTTCCAAGTTGCTTTCTTCTTTTTCTCTTATTTTTTTTCTCTCTGTCAGAACTATACTGCTTTCTTAGGATCGAAACAAGTCCTTCCCCAATAGAGATTTGTGATATTACCGGATATCTCAACTCTATCTCGCTGGTACACCGCGGACAGCAGTGGGGCCAGAATTGCCTTGGGTACGTTCCGAAAGCTAAGACAGCAGAGCCAAGTAACGCACCAGCAACTCTGTTAGCAGCCGATATAGCGCCTGTGGGGTGATTGTGGAGGCGCTGTCCAGCTTCACAGCCGATCGCTTTGCCGAAGCTCGACGGGTCCGTCGCCGGCGGAAAAGGACACTGCAAAGGGCCAATGACGAGACCCCCCGGAGCCCGAATTATTTCCATCGCAGCAATGCCTTCTCCCTTCCTTTCTCTCTCTTGATTCCTCCCAGCAAGCTGCTGTATATTCCCGGGATGAAGGCCAAGGCTGGTCCTGCGTTGTTTCGCCCGCTGCTATGGCGGCGGAGCTTCTCCGTCACCACCACGCGACGGGCCATCAACAAGATCGTGCCGTCCGCCCAGGAGGCCATTAAAGACCTGAAGGGCTCGTCCATGATCTTAGTTGGAGGCTTTGGCTTCTCCGGTGTGCCCAATACCCTGATCAACGCTGTGCGCGACCGTCCCGACCTGCGAGACTTCACCGTCGTCTCCAACAATGCCGGCATGCCGGGCGTGGGGCTGGGTGAGCAGCCTGATTGATGATCCTCCTTTGCTCGAGCTGCTTTCTGACGCGTGGTGTTGGCAGGACAATTGCTCGAGACCCGGCAGATTAGCAAGATGATCGCCTCCTTCATCGGCGAGAACAAGGTGTTTGAGAAAATGTACTTGGAAGGCGACCTGGCTCTGGAACTCACCCCACAGGGCACCATTGCGGAGAAGTGCGCCGCCGGTGCTGCTGGAGTGCCTGCTTTCTACACGCCTGCTGGTCATGGAACCATCGGTATGGTCCTACGTCCGGGTTGATCGGACCAGGGTTGACAACGAAAAACAGTCCAAACGGGTCAGCTGCCGGTGCGATACAACAAGGATGGCACCGTGGCCGAGATGTCCAAGCCCAAGGAGACCCGCGTGTTCAACGGCAAGACGTACATCCTGGAAGAGTCCTTCTTCGCCGACTACGCGTTCGTCAAGGTGCACAAGGCCGACAAGCTGGGCAACTGCCAGTTCCGCAAGGCCATGAACAACTTCAACGAGGCCATGGCCAAGAACGCCAAGGTCACGTTTGTCGAGGCAGACGAGCTGGTCGAGGTGGGCGAGCTGCGGCCGGAGGAGATCCATCTGCAGGGCATCTACGTCAACAAAGTGATCAAGAGCACCGAGCCGAAGAAGATCGAGAAGCTCACCTATGCCAAGGACCCCAACGACCTGCTCCAGGCTGGTGGGTGATTCCCTTCGCTCGTCACATCGCTGGGGATTTTTGTGGCTGACGGGTGCAGGATCCGATGATGCGTCGGCCCGACGCGAACGCATCGTCAAGCGGGCGGCCAAGGAGTTCGAAGACGGTATGTATGTCAACCTGGGCATTGGCATGCCACTCGTGGCTCCGGCGTTCCTGCCGGAGGGCATCGAGGTGATTCTGCAGTCGGAGAACGGCATTCTGGGTCTGGGACCCTACCCGCGTCCGGGCGAGGAAGACCCGGACCTGATCAACCCGGGCAAGGAGACGGTGACGTTGACGAACGGGGCATCGGTGTTTGGTTCTCACGAGAGCTTTGGCATGATCCGATCGGGACGCATCGACCTCACCATGCTGGGAGCGTTGCAAGTCAGCCAATACGGAGGTGCGTCTGCCTACGCGTCTGCTTGATTTCCCATAGCTAACTCGCTCAGATCTGGCCAACTTCATGCTGCCGGGCAAGGTCAAGGGCATTGGCGGCGCCATGGACCTGGTGGCGAACCCCAGCCGGACCAGAGTCGTTGTGACGATGGTATGTGTTGTCTTCTCGGTTCTCTCTCTGCATGGCTGGAGCTGACATCGTTGCAGGAGCACGTGGATAAGAAGGGCAACCCCAAGATTTTGCCCGAATGCACATTCCCCCTGACGGGACCGCGCTGCGTGTGGAAGATCATCACTGACCTGGCCGTGTTCGACGTGAGCCCGACGGAGGGCCTGACGCTGCGCGAGATCGCCGACGGCGTGACGGTAGACGAGGTGCGCAGCAAGACGGCGGCGCCGTTCAAGGTGGCGGACGACTTGAAGCCGATGCTGTAGTATATAATAGCTATAACTAGCTATAACTAGCTATGAAAAAATGGTAGACATTGATGCAAACTTATTTATTTCTATTATTTATTTATTTTTGTAGAAAAAAAGAATACTCCCCAGCTGGAATCGTCATCCAGATACAGCAATCTGTCAATTGTCTCTGTCTGGTAACAGTACTAGTACGGAGTACATTAGTTTCGTTAAAATTAAGACGTTTAGAGATTAATTTTAATTCGACTCCGCATGACCCCACAGCAGCTCTAGTCTGTTACCTGGTTAACTAAGTGAAGCTATAACTGCTACTACTACTTCTGCCAATTCTGCTGCTTCTCTCTTACTCTTTTCTTCCACCAGATATACCCTTTTCTTTGGATTTTTCTTTCTGGCATTTCTAACTATGCTGACCCGGGCTGCCCGCGAGGTCCTGCGCAAAACCCCCCACGACGTGGTCGTGCTGTCCGCCGTGCGGAGTCCCATTGCCCGCGCCTTCAAGGGCGGTTTCAAGGACTCGTGGCCTGAGGAGATTCTGATGCCGGTGCGTCTGGCCCTGCATGTCGACATGAAGGAATGCTGACGAGCTGCAGGTCATGCAAGCAGCCGTGCAACGAGCCAAGATCGAGCCTGGCGACGTCAACGACGTGCTGATCGGAAACGTGCTGGCGGAGCTGGGCTTCGCCAAAACGGGGCGCATGGCCCTCAATGCCGCTGGATTCCCCAACTCGACGACCTTCCACACCGTCAACAGGCAGTGCTCCAGCAGTCTGCAGGCCATCACGCACATCTCCCACGCCATCAAGGCCGGGCAGATCGATGTCGGCCTGGGCGGCGGCGTCGAGAGCATGACGCGCAACTACGGCACGCGCGGCATCCCCGTCGACGTGTCGCCCACGCTGAAGGAGTCGCCTGTTAAGGATGCCCGCGACTGCCTGCTGCCCATGGGCATAACGTCGGAGAACGTGGCTGAGCGGTACGGCATCTCGCGCCGCGACCAGGACGAGTACGCGGTCGAAAGCCAGCGTCGCGCCAGCGAGGCGCAGAAGAACGGGCTCTTCGACCAGGAGATCGTCCCGATCACGGCGCGCAAGATCAATGAGGAGACTAAGGAGGAGAGCACGCATCTGGTCACGCAGGACGAGGGCGTCCGCCACGGCGTGACGCTGGAGAAGCTGTCGCAGCTGAAGCCGGCGTTTAAGGAGAACGGCGGCAGCACGGCCGGCAATTCGTCTGTACCCAACCCCAGTATCTCAGAGCCAACGCTGACTACTTGACTGTATACAGATCGCAAATCTCAGACGGCGCATCGGCCGTCATCCTCGCGCGCCGCTCCTGGGCCGAGAGCCGCGGGCTGAAGCCGATCGGACGGTTCGTAGGCACGCAGGTGGCAGGCTGCGCACCAGACGAGATGGGCATCTCGCCCGTGTTC